GTATGTCATTTTTCTACACGATATAGAAATGCTGCTATAGTACATGAAATAAATCTGGACTCTGGGTTCAATTTGCAAGGAATAAACGTGTACAGAAAAAGTCCTGGTAGCTCGTTGTCCACACCCGTGATCATAAAACTGAAAGTTTCTAATTACACTATAGAAAATCTAGTTAAAAGTCAAAACTTTATATCTTCCTTCATATTTTTCAAAGCATTCAGGTGGGCCAGATTGGAGTCTTTCGCAGACTGAATCTGGCCCACGGGCCTTACATTTGACACCCCTGTCACAGAGCACCATGTTGGTTTTCCCAAAGACATCTAACCCTCTTTTTTTGCCACAAGACTTACCCTCATACCTGGTTTGAGAGACGGAATCCAGCTGGATTGGAGCTAAAATTCCAAACAGAGTGCCTAAATCAACAATAGATGAAAACTGAATGAATTTATTATCAGTGACAGACCTGAAATGAAAAACAAGAAGTCAAACCACAATCAAACCAGTCCTGATTCATGTACCTCGCGAGTATATCACATACAGCTCTGCAAGTTTGAGGAAGCACTTGTGTAATAAATTGTTTAAGCCTTTCACACGGGACTGTGTTCATTATCATTTTTATTACATTTTTGTCAGAGACTTCCTCAGGCTATGGATTTATGACTCAAAGCACAAACCCTTTAAACTCAAACACACCATCTGCTCCTCATCAAAACTCTATTTCCATTAAAATATTATGTAGTAGTTTTAAGAGTGTTCCCTCTGTAGTATTTTCACACTTTTTAATGACATTTTTTAATCCAGTGACTGCAATCCAGGGCAAGCACGTCCTTGCAACCTGTACGGCCTTTTGCAAATACCTGAACCTAATTTGCACTTTCAAGCACGCATGGACGCCTCCGGCTTGACAACAGTTTGGGAAAATGGTTCGCTGTTGTATCACTTCAAAGTACCAGGCACTCGAGTGGGAGAAAATGAAGAAAATGAAGCATTGTTTGTGGAATTACATGAAATCATGTGAGGGTGTAGAAATTATTTACAATAGCTGTTATTGCTTTTTGAATGAAGCTTTCCCGCAATCTGTTGTTTAACTGCCTGAAGGTGGATGTTTAATACTTGTCAGAGTTAGTCAGCCTCTTTGAAGAGAAGAAAACTAGAATTTCTTTTGGGGAGTGTTTGCTCTCTAACAAACTTCATGTACTTATAAATACAGGTATCACTGGTGATACATTTGTCACTTCTTCTCTTGAAAAAACACCAATCTTTGGTTCATAATCAGAGGCCTGTATTATCAGCCTCACATAATTTCAGGTTCAACTCTGGGTGGTCAGTTGTGAGAAAGGTGGCTAAAAACTTAATAGCTATAACCTCTTACTGGGATCCACTGCCATGGCAACTTCTGCTTCACACCTTGCATGCATCGGTTAACAGATTAATGTCGCCTACTAACCAATCATTTTTGTGGGAAAGAAGTGTCGCCATTTGTAAAAGACGTCGTCTTCAAGTCTCACATAGAAAAGCACAGATCGGCACATAGTACAGTTGCACAAATAAAAATATTTTTACTTTATTATGTTTGTGTGATGTTCATTGGTGGCTTAATTTATAATATTTAATACATTTAAAGAAATTAAATTGAGTTAGGCTCAAAATAGCAATATTAATTCATTTGAATTCAACTATATTTATATAGCACCAAATCACACCAACAGTTGTGAGGCGCTTTATGTTGTAAGGTAAAGACCCTACAATAATACAGAGAAACCCCAAATCAGACCACCCCCTATGAGCAAACACATGGTGACAGTGGGGAGGAAAAACTCCCTTTTAAAAGGAAGAAACCTCCGTCAGGTCCAGGCTCAGGGAGGGGCAGGCATCTGCTACAACAGATTGGGGGGGTGATAATGGTAGCATCTGAAAGGATACAACCTTCATCTAGGGAGCAAATTAATTTAGAATTGAAAATGTAAGTGTGAAATGCACTTCACACACGTACACACACGCACAGTTGTTTGTC